TTTGGCCCCCGGGTCCCTTTTGTACCTGCTGGAACATATGCAAACGGGGACAATCTGTGGTCCCAGGTGTACAGCCGTTTCCCAAAAGGTAGACTCTAAGACAGCTTTCTTTTCCTTTTAGAATGTCTTTTTATTTATGTATTTATGTGTTTATGTGTTTATGTATTTATTATTTATTATTTATTATTTATTTTGGTGGGGGTGGCAGGGTAGAGAGGTCTTGCTGCGGTTTCTATTCTAAAGTGTGGTTGAGTTTGAGGAAGCTTTTGCTGCAAGAATCGAGAGTGAGTAAGGGACTTATCAGAGGCGGGCTGGCTTTGGACAAGCCTTGGTGGAAAGAGAGAGGAAGGGGATGGGAAGAGAGAGGGGGAGGGGGAGAGAGAGAGACAGCGAGACTCCGTGACATGCCTGCCAGAGGCTCCCCTCACCTGGTTATCCACCCTGCTCCAAACTAGGAGCCTCCAGTGCCTGCCACCTCCACCCCACCCTGGCACACACCCCTGTCATTTTGGTCATCAGGTGCTCCACCAGCACTGGGGACCATCCTCATGTTTCTTGGACGCAAGGTTCCATTATCCAAATTAACAAAATAAAACAACTTATTTTCCGACTCTCGACTGTTGGCTAAGAAACTGAGGTATGTGTAAAGTTGAGATCCACATCTGACTTTTTTTTTTTTAAAGCGGCCTCTTTCTCCTGCAGGGTCTGTGGCAAGTGGGTGGCTTTGCCCCGCTTCTTCTCCCTCCTGGGCAGCGCCCCGGCCTGGGCCTGGGCACACGGAGTGGGCGCCAACGGAGCGTGTTAAAACAGGGCGAAGCTCCACCGCTGCAGAGGCCGCGCTGGGAGCCGCCTAGACGCAGCCTCCCTGCCCGTCCCATCTCTCTGCTGTCTGGGCTTAAGCGCTGTTTTTGCCGAAGGGGAGGTGGGTGGAGAGGAAACGCAGAGTTTTCGGGGAAACTCAGGCAGGAGGAAACCAGGGACACAGAGGAGAGGCAGCTCCTGGAGCAGGGACCAGGGCCTGCCTCCTGAGACCTGGTGCGGGTTGGAACTGGGCTCCAGATCACCAACCAACCGAGCTGGCCAGTGTCCTGCGGGCGGGCTGCTGGGTGCTCACCGTCTGCGGAAATGAAAACTTCCTTCAGAGAAGCCTGTGCTCGGAGAAACTGAGGACATCTCTCCTCCCAAAGAGAAAAAATACTGGCGAGGGTTTGTTTTGTTACCAAATAAAAACAACTGACCTTCAGGGACGGAAACAGCAGGACCCCGTTGGAAAGTTACTGACCATGCAGGCCAGGGCTTGCACAGCACCCGGGTGTCCCAGCTCCCCTGGTCCTTCGGGGCCCAGTCCGGAACCTCTCTCGCCCTGTGCCCTGTGTCCCTGACAGCGAGGTGGGTCAGCTAGGGATGGATGGGCGCGCAGGCCACCAGGAAGGTCCCTTTCCTGCGGGGCTAGGAAGGCACTGCGGGTGCCTGGGGCTGTGCGGGGAGCGCGGTGGCGGGAGGAGTGTGGTCGGTTCTCCCTGGAGCCGAAGCGCACGCCTGGTGGGCCGAGCAGCGCGGAGGGAATCCCGTGTTTAGAGTCCGCCGCAGAAAACCGCCGGCTGCTTTGCGAACAGAGCGAAGTTTAATGTTCTCCCGGCTCTGGGGTCGGTGAAAAAGCAGCCTGCAAGTGGATGAATAGCTCCGAACTGGTCTCTTTATTTACGTGGCCAGTTTGCGCCTGGAACGGAGGGGCCGTGGCACTGCCGGCAGAGGAGACCGACCTGCGAGGCGCCTCTCAGGAACCCCAGACCCGCATGGAGGCTGCGGACCCGGCCAGAGGTTGGACGAGAGGGAAGGTGGCGTTTGCATCCTCGGACTGTTGCGCCTCGGGCACAAGACTCCCGCCCGCCTCTGCCCTTCCTGCCGCTGGACACTGGGTCTGGGCCTCGCTGTCTGCGCACCAGTTGCGCTTTCGGAGACCGGGAGCCGAAACTGCGCGGAGACTCGGCAGAGTGGCTTCTTGAAGCCACTCAAACTCAAGCTACTCTTACCCACGCTGCCCTGACCCACGCTGCCCTTGCCCACGCTGCCCTGACCGCTCTCCCAGACCCCGCAGACCCGCAGGGCTCCCCACCAAACCCTGCAGGACCCTTCACGCCCCGGGACTCAGACCTGCGGGCCGCCACCTCTCTCACTTTTGGGTGGAGGAACCGGGCACAGGGCTGACTGGGCTAGTCCGGCCTCGCAGCGAGCGCCTGGGGAGGGCCGGCCTGGGGCGGACCCGCGGCTGTCAGTCTCCTCCCCAGCGCCCCGCTGCTCCGCCGGCTACACCTGGGCAGATGGGTTCGGGCGGAGAGGCTCGGGCGGCAGGGAAAGCGAGAGGGGACGCAGCACAGCCAAGACTGTGTGGCGGTTTCCGTGTCAGAGAGAAGCTGGCGTCCCGGGGACTGTGGCTGTGAGTGGGGCAGTGTGTTTGTGGGAAAGTGAGGACTCGCTGTGGAGACAGCAAACCCCTAAGATTCAGGACCTTCTTTCCCTTCGGGGAGGTGAACCCTCCGGGGACCCGGACTCTGAAGTGAAGGGGAGAAGGCAGGCCCTCGTACTGGGGAGGCCGGGAGAACCTGTCCCCCCACGGCCAGCTGATCAGGGCCCATCCCGACCCTCCTGACCTCCCGTCGGTGCCGAGCCCCGAGGGTGTACTCACCCACCCGTTCCGCGTCCATGGCTGTGACCCGCTCACTGGGGTCCCCAGGAGGCTCCGGCCCGTCCTGCCATCCCTCTCCGTCGCCGCGGCTACCGGGGTTGGGAACCTCCGCCCCGCGCGGGTCCGGGACCGGACGCAGATACTGAGAGCGCTCCCCCCGGAGCTGCCAGGCCGCGAGCCCGATCTGCTCTCGCTCCAGCCGCAGGATGTCGTCCACCGAGAAGGGCGTGGAGGTGACGGGGTTCTGCAGCATCCCGGAGGCGGGAGCAGTGGGGCCT